GTTTAGATCAAGAAAAGAGGCTGTAGGTAGGGTAGGACCTGAGGGATCTCCTGCAGGGAAGGAGTGGAGGAGGGAAGAGAAGGCTGAACTGCTGCTCAGGATGGAGAACTTGCTCAGCCGTATTGCAGCCTAGAGAGGTCTCCAGGGTGCACATGGAAGAGTGATGCTGGTTTGAAAATCCTTTGATGATCAGGTGGGAGGTGGAAAAAAGTAGACAGGAAGCACTGAAATTGAATACTCTTTTTTTATTTTATTTTTTATTTTTGAGAGGGAGCCTTGCTCTGTCACCCGGGCTGGAGTGCGGTGGTGCAACCTTGGCTCACTACAACCCCCGCCTCCCGGGTTCCAGCGATTCTCCCTACTCAGCCTCCTGAGTAGCTGGGATTACAGGCACCTGCCATCACGCCTGGCTAATTTTTGTATTTTTGTAGAGATGGGGTCTCACCATGTTGGCCAGGCTGGTCTTGAACTCCTGACCTCAGGTGATCCACCCACCTCGGCTTCCCAAAGTTCTGGGATTACAGGCGTGAGCCACCATGCCCGGCCACTGACTACTCTTTTAATAAGTTTTTTTATGAAGACAGAGAGAGATATGGAATTGATTATAGATGGGGGAAGAAATAGAATCAAGGGAACTTTGTGCTTATTTATTTTGTAAGACTATGACACTTTTCATTATATTTTTAGGCTGCGGGAAGGAAGCAGGGAGAAGATGCAAGTAATCAATGAAACAAGGTTCTAGAGAAAAGCTTACAAATCATTTGTGCTGTGCACCTACTATGTGCCAGTCACTGTGCTGGGGTTTAGCTGTGTGATCTCATTGATCTTCCGAACACTCCTACAGAGTGGAGAAGGATTGTCTCCATTTTCCACCTGGAGCAACTGGGGCTGAGAATAGTGAAATAACTTGCCCAGGTTAATACATCTTGGATTTGAGCCCAAGTGAGCTGGCTCTAATGTCTCAGTGCTTTTCATTATAATATTTCTCCACTGAAAAAGAGGAGGATATATCTTTCTCTGACTCACAAAGAATAAGAAACTTAAAGAAATAAGCAGATTTGTAATGGAGGAAAGGGATGTGTCAGTGTTTCTATCATGCGGTTCGTGTCCTCATTAAACTATGACTCAAAAAAGTGATCAGCTGCGAGGCAGAGGGGAGAAGGGTGAAGCCAGGCAGGGGACCTTGAGAGGGGAAGGGATTTAGGATAGATCAGTGGGTGAGATATAACAGGGAGCCAATCGGGAAGAAATCAGAGACCTCACTTTAAGGCTGAGCTTCCGCTAGGATTAGTGGGCTGGATTTTTGGAGAAACCACCCTGCATGGGGGAAGCAGAAGGTTATCTTAACACGGACATCTCCCCAGAGAGATTTCAGTGACAGCACTGAAGAAGCCCAGAGCCACAGATAATTCTGATTTTAACTCAAGACATCCGCACACCCCAGGGCTCTGAGAGCGAGTCCTCAGACATCCCAAGGGGAGTATCAGCCCCAACCACCTGCTGAAGGAGAAAGTGCTGACCCACTTGGAGTTACCAGGAGCCGTTCCCCGGCCACCCTGCTGAAGCCAGGTGCACTCCCAGCCTCGTGGCAAGGTTGCCATTCTGATATGAAAATAACCAAAGTCCCCACTCAAAAATAACATCTGCTAATTTGCGTGGGAGTTTTGCATTTCATAATTGGGTTTAATATGCAAATGCTAAGATTCATGTGTTAGGCTAGCTAAGTGGTTTAGAGGTTCAGTGGGTAAAAACTCCTCACAGTGTTTCACTCCGGTGCACCGAGACCCGCACCCATGCCCCCCAACTCTGTGCTCTCCCCACCCCTTGGATTCACTCTCATGTGAATTATGGGACATAAATACAAAATCGATTTACCTAAAGGCTTGTCATGTCTAAGAGGGTCTCAGCCAGGGCATCCCCCCACGTTCCCATGTCTGCTGTGGGGCTCCGAGTCCTCCAGCGTCTTCATTTAAGATGAGCAGCTGCTCCTTGGTGCTACCTGGACCCGGGTGTGAGGGCGGCGGTTATGGAGTGAGAAGTTTGAGAGGAGACAGCAGAGAAGGTGTTAATGAATAATCGCAGGGCCTCGTTCTCCATAAAGGCAATTACTGGGATTGATTGTTCCCATGTTTCCTTAGTCACGGTTCAGATGGCTTGTTTCACTCAGATTAAGACAGATGCGTGCTGAACGCGCCCTGGCATGTGATGTCAGGAGAATTATCGATGGCACATCCCAGGCCTCTGCCTTCTTGTGCGGGTGCCACCAGGGATCTCAGCCGGGCTAAAAGGGGAGCGTGGTCATTGTGCGGCTGAAGCATGTGTGTGCTATAGTCAGGTGGTTTTCCAGTTTGAGCATGCCTCAGCATACACTGGAGGGCTTGGTAAACAGATTGCTGAACCCCACCTCCAGAGTTTCTGATTTAGTTGGTCTGCTGAATAATTTGCATTTCTTTTCTTTTTTTTTTTTTTTTTTGAGTTGGAGTCTCGCTCTGTTGCCCAGGCTGGAGTGCAATGGCGCGATCTCAGCTCACTGCAACCTCCACCTCCCAAGTTCAAGCGATTCTCATGCCTTGGCCTCCCAAGTAGCTGGAATTACAGGGGGTGCACCACCACACCCAGCTAATTCTTGTATTTTTAGTAAAGACGGGGTTTCACCATGTTGGCCAGGCTGGTCTCAAACCCCTGACCTCAGGTGATATGCCCGCCTTGGTCTCCCAAAGTGCTGGGATTACAGACATGAGCCACCGTGCCTGGCCAAGTATTTGCATTTGTAACAATTCTGGGCTGCTGGAACTGGTCCAGAAACTTCTCTTTGAGAACCACTCAGTATGGTGAAGAGTATGGACAGTGGGACCAGGCCACCTGTCTGCATGACTGTAGGCCATTTACTTACCCTCTCTGTACCTGCATCTCCTCATCTTTAAAGCAGGGGGCATAGTAATAGTACCTCCTTCATGGGGTTGTTGCCAGGAATAAATGAGTGAGCACATCAGAGCATTTGTAGCAGTGTCTGGTATAGACAGTATATGAGTGCCAGGAACATGTATAAGAGATCCAGCCTGTTGTTACTGTAATGCTATCAGCCCAAGTCTGGTTTCCCCAACACCCACAGATCCCAATGCAGTTGCTGGGTCATTGTGCCCATTAGCCATCAATCCTATATCTGGTGGCCAAGAAAGTTAATGCCCAGCTTAGTGCTAGTCGGAGCGTGGTTACACCGACATCCATCAAAATTCTCTTCTCAAGCCACCTTAACCCTTCACATCTACTGAATGCATAGAACTTGACTCAGTGAGACTGGGGCCGTAGGGCTGGGTTGCATTTGGGGTTTCTCTCCCTCGCGTGGGCAAAGAGGGGGGCTGCCTTTTCTGGTTCAGTTTCTACCCATGGATGCTGTCTGCTGAATGCATTCTTTAACTATACATTTTTAAAACATCATTTTATTAATATTTAACCCTCACAGTGTTACTCTTAGGTAACAATTATTATTCCTGTTTTAACTCTGTTGGGGTTCAGATAAGTTAAATGACTTATCCAAATTACATATTAAAAGCCAGGTCTCGGCCGGAGGCAGGCGGGACAATTGCGTAACGCCAGGAATTCAAGACCAGCCTGGGCAACATAGAGAGATCCTTGCCTCTACAAAAAAAAAATTTTTTTTTTAATTAGCCAGGCACAGTGGCACACACCTGTAGTCCCAGCTACCTGGGAGGCCGAGGCGGGAGGATCGCTTGAGCCCATAGGTCAAGGTTACAGTGAGCTGTGATCACACCACTGCACTCCAGCCTGGGTGACAAAGCAAGACTCTGTCTCAAAAAGAAAAAGAAAAAGAAGGCTGGACATGGTGGCTCACACCTGTAATCCCAGCACTATGGGAGGCCAAGGCAGGCAGATCTTTTGAGCTCAGGAGTTCGAGACCAGCCTGGCTAACATGGAGAAACCCTATCTCTACTAAAAATATAAATATTAGTCGGGCTACATGGGAGACTAAGGCATGAGAATCACTTGAACCTGGGAGGTGGAGGTTACAGTGAGCCCAGATCGCGCCACTGCACTCTAGCCTGGGCAACAGAGAAAGACCCTGTCTCAAAACATTAAAAAATAATAAAATTTAAAAATTAAAAATTAAATTTTAATTTTCAAATAAAATTTAAAAAAAAATTTTTATTTTACTTTAAAAATAAATTTATGTTTTAAAAATTAAAAATAAAAGCCAGGTCTGTCTGACTTCAATAATCTATGATTTTAAAGTTCTACTAGGCCGGGCGCGGTGGCTCAAGCCTGTAATCCCAGCACTTTGGGAGGCCGAGACGGGCGAATCACAAGGTCAGGAGATCGAGACCATCCTGGCTAACACGGTGAAACCCCGTCTGTACTAAAAAAGTACAAAAAACCAGCCGGGCGAGGTGGCGGGCGCCTGTAGTCCCAGCTACTCGGGAGGCTGAGGCAGGAGAATGGCGTAAACCCGGGAGGCGGAGCTTGTAGTGAGCTGAGATCTGGCCACTGCACTCCAGCCTGGGCGACAGAGCAAGACTCCGTCTCAAAAAAAAAAAAAAAAAAAAAGTTCTACTATATCCCCTTGCTAATGTTATATGAACATTTATATAAAGATTAAGGCTGGGTCCCCAGGAATCCAGCAATGGCAGCTGCTCCCCAAAGGTAAACTCCCCAGAACTGGCACTGGTGTGATTTAGGGGTTTGGTTTTCTAAAGCTTACGCTAGGAGTCACAGAACATATTCCTTTTGGAAATGCCCTCTTCAGGGACTTGCCCTCTATTGCTGGTTATTCTCTGTGGCCTGACCTCTGTCTGGATGAAACTGTGTTCATGGTCCTAAAGGTGCTTTCCTTTGTCTGAATTTGGATATTGACTTAGTATCTTAACATTTCTGCTCTGGTGCGGTGCTCCCAACCAAATGGCCAGGAAGTATTCAGAAGCTCTGCTGAATATAGGAAGAGAGAAAAAATGTCATGCTAATGGAAGTTTGCTTTTCTCCCACAGTGTTCCTTTCTGCCGAAATTCTCCATTCATATAGAAACCAAGTATGAGGACAACAAAGGAAGCAACGACAGTGTGAGTAGCCCCTCCTTCCGTGCTGTGCTCACCTCTTGGGCTCTGAAAATTGCAGCACTTCTCACAGCTCCTCTGTGACCAGGGCCAGCAGTGGGACCTGTGCCTGGGACCGCAGAGATGCTCTGGCCTTTGGCTTCTGAGGGTTATTTCCCTGGGACTTTTCCCTGGAATTCTTTTGTCGTCTAGCTTTTCTTTCTCATGTTTATGTGCTTTCCATGGGCCTCTGAGCAGAAGCCTCTGACTGGGGTGACTGTCGTGGAGGTGGAGAGGACGACAGGGTACTAGGAACTTCAAGATTTGGTTTCTGATCATTGGACGGAGTACATATCTTCTCAGCGCCTATTCATATTTACTTGAAAAAGGGAATGCAATCAAATATATGTGTGCACAGAAAAGGAAATATAGTCAGATATGTGTGAACAGAAAAGGAAATACAGGCCCAGTGCAGTGGCTCATGCCTGTAATCCCAGCACTCTGGGAGGCTGAGGCAGGCAGATCACCTGAGATCAGGAGTTCAAGACCAGCCTGGCCAACATGGCAAAACCCTGTCTCAACTAAAAATAGAAAAATTAGCTGGGTGTGATGGGGCACGCCAGTAATCCCAGCTACTTGGGAGGCTGAGGCAGGAGAATTGCTTGAACCTGGGAGGCAGAGGTTACAGTGAGCTGAGGTTGTGCCACTACACTCCAGCCTGGGCCACAGAGCGAGACTCCATCTCAAAAAAAAAAAAAAAGAAAGAAAAGGCAATAGAATCAGATGTATGTGCACATACTGCATATATGCTTACTTACACACATGTGGTATTTGTATACACCCACACATCCTACCTTAAAATCCGGTGCTACCCCCACAAAATATTTACCTCCTGAGGCATTCTGACTTTTACTAAATTTCAGCCAAGTATTTTGCTTATTAGTGTTGGTTAAAACCCATCTTCTGACCTGGCTTTTACCCCCCGGCTCTTTCTGTTGGGGCAGTACATTTCTAAGTTCTTTTTTCTTTGGGGGTGACTGTTTTGACCTACCAAAAGCCTCACCTGGGATTAGGCTGTGGGTTCCCTCAGGACCCATTGAAAGGAAGAACCTGGATCTGGAAGCTTCAGGGCTTCCCCAGAGTTCATGGAACTTCTAGAGGAGAGTATACAGCTGGCAAAAGTACTGTCCTACCACTGTGTTCAGGAACCCCATCATTAGTGTCTCCTTGAAGTGGCAGCCCAAAGGGGAATGTTCAGGGCCATTTTCCTGTCACAGGCCGAAATCACAGGCACATTGCTGGCCAACTTCATCAAAACCACCATGTCTAAAACAGTGTCACACTGTGTTTAAACTTGAATCCTTATAAAATAGTGATTTTTTTTTCTGATTAGAAAGCAGGCCAGGCGCGGTGGCTCACGCCTGTAATCCTAGCATGTTGGGAGGCCAAGGCGGATTGTCCGAGCTCAGGAGTTCAAGACCAGCCTGGGCAACATGGCAAACCCCATCTCTACTAAAAATACAAAAAATTAGCCGGGCATGGTGGCACATGCCTGTAGTCCCAGCTACTCAGGAGGGCGAGGCAGGAAAATCACTTGAGCCTGGGAGGCAGAGGTTGCAGTGAGCCCAGATTGCACCACTGCACTCCAGCCTGTCAACAGAGCGAGACTCTGTCTCAAAAAAAAAAAAAGTTAATACATGGCTATTCACACTTGGAAAATGCAAAAAGAAAGTATCGAAAAAAGAAAGGAAAAACCAATAGCAGTCCCACAATTTAGAGATGACTTCTGTTAGCGATTTGGTTCATGTTGCAGATTATGGACAAATTTATTTTGTAACCAATTCCTCCTGAATTGAATCATAAAGTATGTTATTTTTAACATGCCATGAGGTATGCTTCCCCATAATGATTTTTCCTGGCTGTACCACCTTCCATATTTCAGTGTACTTCTTTAAACCTGGTCACTGGATATTGAAGTAAACTTGACTATTTTCGTGTAGCTGTGGACTCTCATGAAAAGGATAATAAAGTTCAGTTGCCTGAATTGCTTTTCCTGGCATAATATGAAAATATGGGGGAATTTTTTTGTTTCTTTATGAGACAGGGTCTCGCTCTGTCACCCAGGCTGGAGTGCAGTAGCACGATCTCGGGTCACTGCAACCTCCACCTCCTGGGCTCAAGCAATCCTCCCACCTCAGCCCCGCTGAGTAGCTGGGGCTACAGGCACACACGACCATGCCCAGCTAATTTTTGTGTTTTTTTAGAGATGGGATTGCACCATGTTGCCTAGGCTAGTCTCAAACTCCTGGACTAAAGCAATCTGCCTGTCTTGACCTCCCAAAGTGCTGGGATTATAGGCGTGAGCCACCATGCCTGGCTGGAAAAAAAATTTTTAAATATCTTTTAGTCTTTCCAAACAAATTTCCTTGCTTTCTCTCTTTTTCTCTATGTCTCTATCTCCATGAGTTCATTCAAAACAACTCTCCATTTGTTTGGCTCACACCTGTAATCCCAGCACTCTGGGAGGCCATAGTGGACGGATCACCTGAGGTCAGGAGTTTGAGACCAGCCTGGGCAACATGGGGAAACCCCATCTCTGCAAAATTAAAAAATTAGCCAGGCGTGGTGGCACGCACGCCTGTGGTCCCAGCTCCCTACTTGGGAGGCTGCGGTGGGAGAATCGCTTGAGCCCAAGAGGTCAAGTCTGCAGTGAACCATGTTTGCACCTCTGCACTCCAGCCTGGGTGACACAGTGACACCTAGAAATAAAAAAGAGGCACAGAGGGGACACGTGGGCTCACTATGATCGCTATAGATTGGTGGGACCACTGTAATCTGGTTTATCCTCTGCCCAGTTCAAATAGTCCCCAGAATTCATAGGGTGATTATATATTATTATATGTCCCTTTTTTGGCAGGTGCTAAGGTTTTTTGACTACCCTCCTAGGAATTTAAAATAACAAGTTATCCACCTTACAATCAGGATCCAGGCCCACGCCAAGGGCCAGGCCCCTTCGAGACTTAGGCTGGCCTGCAAGAGAAGCACCGATCACCTGTTCACTCCGAGCGGTCCTTGGATACAGTTTGCTTTCTCTAGGAGAAATCTCAGCTGTTGTAGCCCAGCTTGCCTACCTCTCCCCAGCCTGTGGACTCTGGAACTGCCCAGGGGACCTGCTCCTTGTCTCCCTGTCATGGCACCCAAGTTGCCCAAGCCCCAGTCCTGCCATCTTGTTACATTGAAGAGGCCCTAAATGTGTTTTTGGCCCAGTTCCCACCTCCTGCCCCCCCAGGCTCTGCTTGACCTCTGCTCCACGGACCCCAGGTCTTGCTCCTGAGGCCATTGGACCACACAGCCCAGCCCCACTTTGGTAGACTTCTTTGCCAATTTGCCCTCCTCTAATTTACATATTCAGCAGCAATTGCTGTTCAGCAGGTTCAAGGTTGATCCCAGAGAGGCAGAAAAGGAGGGTTGCAGCCAGGTGCGGTGGCTCACACCTGAAATCCCAGCACTTTGGGAGGAGGCTGAGGTGGGTGGATACCTGAGGTCAGGAGTTTGAGACCAGCCTGGCCAGCATGGCAAAACCCCATCTCTACTAAAAATAGAGAAATTAGCAGGGCATGGTGGCGTGCACCTGTAATCCCACCTACTCGGGAGGCTGAGGCAGGAGAATTGCTTGAACCCAGAAGGCAGAGGTTGCAGTGAGCAGAGATCGTGCCACTGCACTCCAGCCTGGGCAACAAGAGTGAAACTCTGTCTCAAAAAAGAGAAAAAAAAAAAAGAAAAGAAAAGAAGAAAAGGAGGGCTGCATCCATTTCCATTCATACTTGTTAATACTTCAAAATCTGAACATGAGAAATATATATTTATCTAACAATTCTTTAATTACCAAATGCTAGCTTTATCTAGCCGGGGATTCAAAACTGGTGTTTTAAGCCAAGGCGTATGCTGGTGTGCTCTTTTTCTGTCCTGGGTTGAGTGTGGAGTTTTTGGTGGGAGGCAGAGTTGCTAAGGAAAGCAGTGCAGTAGTGGATAATTCTCTTGTCTCACCGCATTTCCAAACTATTTAATAAACTCAGTTCATTTCTTTGCACTTTCTGGGTGTACACTCTTATCATTCAGCTACCATCCTTCATACTGCTATCTGCACTGTTTCCTCCCGTACCTGCCAAAAATTTAATGAAATTGATGACGATAAGAAGCAATAATTAAATTGAAAGAGGCTACTGATAGTCATATTGATGATAGTGGTTGAATTGAGTACATGTTGTTATCCTATTATCAATTACCATATAAGTAATTTTTTGACGCGACCCAGTATCTAGTAAGAAAAAAATAGTGGCAGTATGAGTAGATATAAATATCTTCTCTTCCTTGTTAAAAATAAAACCAGTATACGTATGATTGTGAAAACCTGCAAACTGTGATTACATTAACCAGGATGCAGTGGGGAAGTTGTCTTAAATTGAGGCCCATTTATTTTATGCACATACTTACGAGAATTATTTGGGCCTTCCTTAGTGCTAGGGAGGACGGCACCATGCCAAGGTAAGGTTCTGTTGTTTGTCCAAGGCCATAAATCTAGACCTAGAAGAGTCCGTGCTTAGCACTGCCTGGTTCAGCTGAACGAGAGGCTGCTCATGTGGTGACGGCTGCCAGGTTACTGGTGTTCAATGGGGTTAATGGGGGCAGCCTTGCTACTTTACTTCCTCTTCCAAACAAAGCAGGCACCATTTAAAGTGGTGCTTCCCAGCCTTGCCTGCACATTGGACCCACCTGAGAAGTTTTAACAACTCCTGCCTGGGTCCCAGCCCCCTGGGATTTTTATTTAACGGGTCCTGGGTGCAGGCTGGTCTAAACCAGCCAATGAGCATGAAGGACAGAACACTCCCTTCCAGAACACGGAATTCTCCAGCTGGGCGTGTGAGAAGTTTGAGAGTCTACCCTGAGGCTGAACCTGATATGTTCCCTTAGGAGACATTGGCTATGCCGTCCCCAGCCCCGTGAAGATCTAGACCAGCAGTTCTCAG